AAATTTGAATTTTCACTCCTAGATTCCCAGGAGCTCCATGTGCCACATGTGAGGTTTGCATCTTAATGTAATTTGGTTCACATTTGAGGTGAATTTGAGTCAAACCATGTGCACCATCCACATGGCCGATCACATGACTCTAATTACACCTTAAATGTATCTCAAATTACACTAAATATAAACTCACATGAAATTATTATCTAAATGGCCAAAATACAAGCCTAGAAATCAACCTATTCTACTTAGCCAAAATACAAGGCCCACAAACAAAAATACAAGTTCAAGTGGTCAACCCTATTCTACATAGGCTTTAATGCACAACCCAACTAAAGAGCATTATGGGCTTTTCCTTGGAGTTAGCCCAATCCTCCTCTAGCCTTCGAACCATAGCCCTAGTAATTGGGCCCTTGGACCATGGGCCTTGTCGCAACCTGAAAATTTCTGATCTTACGACTTGTGGTTTAGACATCCTTTTAAAGATCTCATCAATTAAGGAATGCCTGGACACCAGACTAATCCTTAATTAATGGTTTTGAAAATAGGTTCATGGAGTCACCACCAACGTTTTACTCAAAACATTAGAAAAAGAAAAGGTTTTTAAAGATCCAATAATGGCCTTGATAACCAGAATTGGGTTCGGGGGAAACCAGGATAAAATACTTTTCACTCTTCTGTCATCCTTATCTCTCACATTGAACAATCTTTAATTGAATGTTAAGATAGCTGGCTTTGATTAATATGCTTGTATGATTAAAATAGTTTAAACTAGAACATAAGCATTGCATATTAGTTGTTCCTTAAGCTAATTCAATAAAGATTAAGCAAGAATTCATATAGGAGTCATTCCCATTTACAAGAGTTTCAATTAACTTCATTGAAAATTAGTAATAGAAAAGTTTTAATTGAAATAAAGATCCTTAAACTCTGATAAATTTTTTAAGTGTCATTAAATCCAATTCACCCCCCTCTTGGATTGAGCCATTCTTTTCTATCACCTATAAGTTTCTCATAAGTTATTAGTTCTTCATATGCAAAATTTTGGGAATAAGCTATTAGGATTGAAATTGATTCCATTATAGAAAATAATACATACACTATAGTGGACTTACCTAAAGGAGAAAAATCAATGGATTGCAAGTGCATCTTTAAAAGAAAGTACAACCCTAATGGGTCTATAGAGAAATATAAGGCTAGATTAGTAACTAAGGTATTTACTAAAAAAAAACAAGATATAGATTTCTTTGATACCTTCATGTTGCCAAGATTTCCTCTATTTGAGTGTTAATAGCCTTGGCATTTATCCATAGGCTTGTGATACATCAAGTGGATGTAAAAATCATTTTCTTGAATGGTGAACTAGATGAGGAAATTTATATGACTCAACCTGAATGGTGTGTGGCTCCTAGTATAGAGAATACAATGTGCAAATTCTTAAAATCCCTATATGGTTTAAAACAAGCACCAAAATAATGGCATAAAAATCTTGATCAAGTTTTACTCGATGATGGGTACTTCTAGTAGTGTTGATAGATGTGTGCACAACAAGGTTGTGAACGATGATTGTGTTATCATATGCTTGTATGTGGATGAAATACTTAGTTTTTGGTACTTGTGATGATATAGAATTCAAACTAAATATTTTCTTACATCTAAGTTTGGTATGAAAGATATGGGTGAGTCAAGTGTAATCTTGGGAGTTAAAGTTGTAAGGAAAGGTGATGGCATTTTACTATCCCAAGGATATTATATTGAGACACTTCTTAAGAAGTTTGATTATTATGACTATAAGTCTGTGACTAGCCCTCACGATGTTAACTCTCAACTGAAATAGAATAAAAAGGATTTTCTTGCTCAATCTTAGTATGCCTAAGTTATAGGGAGCTTGCTGCATTTGATGAACTTTTCCAAAATCGATATTGCATATGCAATAGGTAAACTAAGTAGATATACCCATACTTGCAAGACTCATGAGATATTTGAGAGGTACCAGTATTAAGTATAGTAGATTTCCCGCTATACTAGAAGGGTACAATGATGCTAACTGGATCTATGATTTATATGAGAAAAAATATACTAATGGCTATGTGTGTACACTTGATTATGGTGCGGTTGCATGGAGATCAATTAGGCAATCTATTATTGCTAGATGAACTATGGAGTCAGATTTTGTAGCTTTGAAGATGACTGGTACTAAGGTTGAGTGGTTGAGAAACTTCTTGGTAAACATTCCTCTAGGAATGAAACCAACTCCAATAGTGTCAATACATTATGACATTCAATCAACAATAGCCATAGTTAAAAATAAATCTTACAATGGAAAAAATAGACATATACAATTAAGACATAATATAGTAAAGCAAACGCTAAAGGATGGAACGAGTTCCATCAATTATATAAGTCAAAAAGAAACTTGGAAAATCCTTTAACAAAACCCTTAGGAAGAAAAAATGACTTATGAAACATCGAGAAGAATGAGACTAAAGCCAATTCAAGATAAATAAGTGATGGTAACTCAACCTTTGTGATTGGAGATCCCATGAATGAGGTTCATAGGTTAAGAAAGTGTTAAAGCTACATTAATGAGAGGATCAATTTTATTGATAAGTTTTATGGTGAGAAAACTTGACACATTATAAAAGTTTTAATGATTTTCATATCCTTATGGGTGGTGTATGATTTGTGACATACACTTGATGAAATCATCTATATGAGTGTCAAGTGGGGTCACTTGTATGAGATTTTGGCGAGATCTCTAGAATACTCATGAATACCAGGTAGGTGCATGGCATAGTAGCGCAAAACAACGATAACAACAAGAATTGTGAGAGTGTAAGTGTTTTTGGTTCATATAGCTTGCTATATCAATCTCATTGTATGTTAAGTATTATCAATTTAGGCCTGGTTCATATAGTTTGCTACATCAGGTCCGACGCATTACAGCCAATATGAGAACCCAATTTCTTCTTTCTTAATCTCTCTTTTTATTATTGTGAAATAAAATAATTTTTTTTGAAATATGTGGGGGAAATATGTGGGGGATTGTGGCATGTGTGACACATGTGTATCTATTTCAAAGGAAGTCTAACATTACTTAATCCATGTAAAATTTGAGTCTTTATATATCAAAGTATTATTTACACTTTCAAAGAGGCAAACAATGAATGTTGGGCTCACGTGCATGAGAATGGGTCTTGTGAACCAATTATAGTTCAAATATGTCAATTTGCCCCCTCGCTATGGGTACGAAAAATAGGATCCGAAAATATTTTTTTAAATTACATTAAATTATTCTAATTAACCTTATATGACCATTTTTATGTCTCATTTTAAGAGTTGATCCAGTCTTCAAAATTTTGTCTAACCTTATCTTGATCAAATATTTTACTTTTATTTTTTAGTGATTTGTATAAATGTTAATTAGAAGGAAACACTTGTTCTTCACATCCACCCCATTCAAACAAAAATACAAAAAAGAAAAAATTAATTCAAACTAAAAAAAAGTTAGTTGACGTCATTTAATTTCTCCTCCTTCAAAAAGAAAACTATTATCTTATACAAATTTCATTGGGAATTATTATCAAAAATTAAAAAATAAAAAATTATTAAAAATACAATATCAATTAAGTAAAAAACATTTTAGAAAATATATTATTAAATAAAGTACAGTATTTGAAATCTTAAAATCATCGTACATATATATATATATATATATATATATATATATATAATTTTTTTTTTTTTTTTTATATATTA